TTATGATATATATATATATATTATATGAAAGAAATGAACTTTAAGAAATAGAGAAGAAAAATAAGATTAATCTTTTAATTTTATTTAAAAAAGTAACAAACTGTTAAAAGCTAATTTCACTATTATTATTAATGGGAAAATGTTTATGATTTAATTATTTTAAATTAGAGCGATAAGTAAGACATTATATAAGGAAATTAAAGGATTAAAATTATCTTTTAGAAATTAGCTAGAATAAAAAGGAAAGCTCGTAAATCCAATTCTGTGACAACATAATACATTCATTTTATGAAAATAATAACAACTAAAAAAGTTTACACAAAGTTATTTACTGAAAGAAATATTGCATAACTCGTAGTCGCGTGCTGTTAGCCATACAACTTTCATACAATTGGCGTTTCCATATGCCAGCTCTCAACAAAAGTAGAAAGTATTTTAGTAAACTTATATTAATTAAGGTTTTTAAAATAAATAAAAATGTGTTTTATAGTAAAACAAAATTAAAATAGGTCCAAGACGATTATACGGTCTTAAGCCTTGGTTTGAGTTTGGAATTCAAAAGCTCAACCCAAAGCTAGCCTATCAAATTAGAGAGCAAGGAGTTAGACTATTTACACTTCAGTTTTTTCGCTTTCGATTTTTGACTTGGGAGAAGAGAAAGAACCGTAGAGAAAGAGATTGTGTTTGCTGTGTTTGAGGAGCAGCTTTCGAATCCATGAAACTACACCCAAAGTTGTGAGATTATCATCTAAGGTAAAAAGGGGTGCGGAAATTATCTTATATGTTAGTACATATAAATAAAACGTGGATGGTAAGGGGATTCTTAAGTCTCTTAGATTTTCTAATGTATGCTTTTAAAGGGTTTTTGAACATCTTAAATTAAGTGTTGACAATATGATTTATATGTTACTAATGTTTATTTGCTAAATTATTGAATTGAGTTCTTGTTTTGGTTATTTGAGTTTAAGCTTTTTTTTGTATGTTTAAATTGGGATTTTTGTGTAATAGCTATTTGTACTTGAATTTTGTGAATCAATTTAAGTGTTATGTGTTATTAAGTAATAGCAAGAGGTGATTATAGTAGTAATTGGTGTAACAATATAAAGAAATTGGAAGTGGAATTCCTACTCATCAAATTGAGTTTTGAATAGTTTTAGGACTATATTATGATAGTATGGTTGTGCTTAGGTAAGACAATTGTGTTAGGTTGACCATGAACATGCTAAGGTTATGATAGTGTAAACACAATCGTATTTGACGGAGATCACCTATATTGAGTGACTACTGTCGTGCCCAATGGAAGAAAGCTCATGCTGTTTTTGGAAGTACAATCATTCTTAGGTTGTGCTCTTTTTAAAAATTCGAATTAGACCTAATAGTCTCTATAAGAATTGTATTTTTAATGCTAGTTAATCAATGGCATTAGAATCACTTTAAAAGGATGTCTAGAAATCAAGATATAATGATATTAGTGAATAAAGATCAACTTGTTTGAATTAAGCAAAAATGTTAAAAAAAATTGTGATTTTAGGTACAGTAATTGATAAAACAAAATTTGAGATCTGCATAAGAGTTGTAAACAAATTTCTTAGTTTTCTTATGAGATAGAGATCAAATTGATAACACAAGTATAACTCTAGATATAGTATTTACACCTTATAGTTCATAGAAATATTATATAGGATTAGGGTGTAAATAATGAGTAAGAGTTGAAAGTATGAACAGCTAAGTGTAACTCGAGAGTAAAATTGTGTCATGAGTTATGTGTGCAAATGAGTATAAATATATGTCAAGAGTTAAGTCTAAGTTGTTTCTTAGAACTATGCAAGTTCCAAGTTATTACTTGTCATTAGTGAAGTCTAGACCATCTATAATAGTGCTTGAGTATAGCATTTCCTAGCCATGTGCCTATGTGTTTTATGTGTTATGTGAGAGTTCATGCATATCATACATCTTTCACTTGGAAGTATTGGTTTGCAAATACGACTAGGAGGGTCTTCATGAGTTGTCTTGGCCTTGGGGGTTTTAATAGTAGGGAGCAACTTATTACCACGAGTGATAAGGAGTAACCATGTGGGACCCCAACTAGCTTTGGTTGAATCTTCATTCTAGTTAAGAGTGGATGAGTTGCTTACTCATTGTGTGGTAATGTTTGTTTCCATGTAATCTCAGGTTACCTTATGAGTGTGCACTTTGTGCAAAGAGCTTATGGTACCACATGCATATAAAGTTAAAGCCACAAGTCTTCATGAGTCAAGTGTCTTGAATTGTATGTATATGCATTTGTGTTTATATTTGTTGTTTTAAGTTAACTACCTAACCTTTTTATGTGTTTTTAAACATGTGTGAGACATATTCTCACTCCTTTATTTTTGTGTTTGTATTCTTTATTTGGGTTGAATATCATTTTATGCATAGATTATATAGATGAGTTTGAACCTATTGAAGATAAAGCTTAAACTTCAATTTTATATTATGGAATTTACCCTTATTAGTTTGTGACATCAAATAAAGAATTATTTTATTAGATTATGTCTTTTGTTATATATTCATTTTACCGGAGTTTCATTATTTGTTTAGATATTATTTTTGAGAACTTTTAAAAAAGACTTTTTATGCTAATTATATTTGGTATTTACACATTCTTTTATTAGAGTTTTTAGTTTGTACAAAATGAGCATATGAAATCCTTTCCTCTGAAAGCAAAAGTAATTAATTTTATGTATTGTAATTATATATTATAATATTTAATAAGAATTACTTTTGGGTTATAAAAGAGTCTCACAAATGACAAAGAAGGAGTGACGAAGTAGTGACTAGGTCTTTTGGAAAGGAAGGAGGAATGGATCGATATTTCAAAAAAAAAAATGAAAGAGGAAGGGAGACTAAGAGAAAGAGCTTCTAGAATGGGTAAACGAGAAAGAAGAAAAGAAATGGTGTATGTATATTAAGAGAAAGATATGTTTGGAAACTTAATAAAATGATGGGTTGATCGATGTGGCAATTTGCTAGGTGCATATGGAGAAAATCTCTTGCTAAGAGTTTATGACAATTTATTTTCTTATAACCAATAAAAACATGGATAATTTTTATACATCTCTCATAATTGTATTATGCGAAAGAAATGGACTTTAAAAGGTAGAGAAACTAAATAAGATTTCTATTTTAATTTTATTTAACAAACTATTATAGGCTAAATTCACTATTTATTTCTAAAGAAAAAAAAATCATGATTTAATTATTTTAAATTAATTAGAGTGATAAGTAAGATAATTATAATTTTTTGTTTGTTAAAATATGAATATTGTGTATTTTTATTATTCTAAAACCAACTTAAATTAAAATATATATATATATATATATATATATATA